AGAAGGTGGCACCACTTAATGAACCTTTCCATCCGGCCCCGAATGACATTAAAATTCCGTGGGAATCCAGTTCAGCGGCGAATCCTAAAAGTTTGGGAAAACTAGCCGGGAGGAAATGAGAAAGATCGGGGGTGGCCATCGGGGGATGAAGGGGCGAAGTCGGTTTCGGTGGCCCTGGCTCGACTTTCCGAAGGTTTTTCAAAGGCTCGTCGAGGCAATCCCGCGAGCTGCTGGGCCTGAGATGAATTTAAGAGAAGATTCGGCCTCTCCTCCTCTCTGACCCAACCCTCTGCCTCCAGTCACTCGTCCAACCGGGCCAAGCCAGCCGGGTACCTTTAGCGCTGTTTAACTTCCACCTGAATTAGCTCTCATCCACATCGGCTGCACATTGTTCTCCACAATCCACCTACGTCGTTTACATTTCGCGGTGGCTCGTGCTAATATTTAAACCCTTTCGCTGCACCCGGCCCGCCCTGGGCTTTTTCAAAAGGAATCGCCGCACCTTCCTTGGCTCCTCCACCCCTTGTAACACTTTGTTGGCAAGCCGGGGGTGGTACCACCGTCCTGCATTTTTAATCGAACCTATTGGTCCCTCGAAGAGGCTTAGGAACCAACCTCTCTGTACAACTGGCGTCTCTTCAGAAATAATCTAAGCACCTTGAACTTGAAAATCAGAACCCTTATCGCAGCGTTTATCAGGAAACTCGGCACAGTTTCGCGATAAATATACACACTTGCATACGTATTTTGTCTGATATAAATGATTTTTAGTTATATGATCAACCATGACCGTTTAATCGGGCAAGTATTTTCTAGAGTATTTTAGTCTCCATTTTTTAATTTCGGTGATATTGCGAATTACTGCACCGGAGGTCAGTAATTGCAGTGGCACTTCGGTTCTTTCACATATTTGAAAGTATGAAATTAAAATTATTACGGTTAAAAAATCCTGGCACCTCTGTAGGCTTTTAAATTCCACGTAATTAAACAGAAACCTCATCATGATATTACCTCAACTTGAATACGGTTTCATCTCGTAATATTTAGTCGTAATATTCCGAGGAGCGGCGCCGTAGGCCCAGCTTTTACGCAAAACTAACAGTTATAATGAAGTTTTTCGTAACGCAGAAACTCAAGGCGCATCCGCACGTATGCTCGTTTAATTATTTCGTTGGTTTGGGCAACGCACGAGAATGTTTCCGTAGGAACGATGTCTCTTTTAGAAGAGCTTCAGCCCTTCGAAATGGTCGCACCGCGGCAGAGTACTAATTCCCAAACCGTATGATCCGTTCAATTTTCTCAAGTAAAGGAGGACAAAAGATATGAATCAAAATTTCACCTTCATCGAAGCTGCCTCTAAATTAATAATGTCCACCCGAGTCGAAATTTTAGACCTCCTTTCAGCCTGCATAACGTAAGAACGAACGCTTTTTGTTTTTTAATTCCTTATTACGTCCTGCTTAATTCAAATGAAGTCCTATTTTAGACCGATAAGTAAAAAACATGGAAGTATATGCCACTTTAAGGTCTAAAGTAGGATCTCAAAGATGTGAGAGTATATCGTGTCAAACCCATTTCGAAACCTACAATTATAGGTCCTAAGGATAAAAATGTCGACTCGAGCAGCGTCTGTGAAATGTCAAAAATGTCCGACCGCAGACCTCAAATTCGAGACATTGACTTAGAAAGCTGCTGACATGCGAAATGCTTTACCAGTGTTTGACGTTTCTTAGTTTGCGCGCTTTTATTCCCACTTATGAGTTTTATGGCAGCTGTAAACTGGCCTTAAAGTGCAGAGTCGTTTTCCTGAATTTCAAGCTGATTGAATCTTCTGGTCAGACAAGGAGATTTGTTGACGATCCTGAAACGGGCTTTCGCGACGTATAAGATCATACCCCGAATTCCGTGCACTGATTTCATCCGACATTTTATCTGCATCGATAACGCGTGATTCCTCGACTTTTGTTCCTCCACTTTCTTCAGAGAATTGCATAAAATAAGTTCTCGAGGCAACGAGCATTCTTGACTGCTTCCTCTATGGTGTCTTGTTTGGAGACTGATTAGCCAAGTGTCATGAACTCGAATCCTTTTTTTTTTTTTTTCGATTTTATGTCAGCTTTGTGGATAAAGGGGAGAATATCACGTTATGAGCACCTTGTTGAGCTCGGGCAGTATCGTAGCTCGGTGCCGCAATAAGTACCCTTACTGTTTCCCGCCTCCGATTTTCATGCTCCGTGCTATTCCTCCTTCCTTCTCGCAAGTAGGAGTGTTTTGCATTTTAAGAAGGTGTGAGAACCTTCTCGCACCATTCAAGGGTGGTTCAACTTCCGCCGGGGTCCCTGAGAAGTGCGGAATCGACCACGGAAATACTGCGTCTCAAAACTTCAGGCGAACAATAATTCTGCAGTCACCTACGTCATTCATATTAATTATATGCGTGTTACATTAATGACTACATGCCGTATGTGTCCTTAAAAATGATTCAAAATATGAGAACTCGTATAGAATACTTCTCTTCGCAAAACGTTTATATAAAACAAGCTTTTCGCTCCGGTTTCGTCCGGAAGCCTAGTAAGCACTCGTATGGTCATTTCTTCGCCGACTTGCTTCACCAAAATCATGACTGCTCGGTTCTCCTTATCATACATTAATGTTTCATAGAAAACAATTTTCGCAACAGGTGAGCACCGCTTCATATACTCTCGCACAGATACGTAATACGTTTACAGTCAATAAGACGACGGTGTCTCCTCAACTTTAAATGCAAATTACGTGTTGATAAAGGCGTATTTTATTTACATAAGAAACTTTAGTTAAGTAAATACTTTTGACAAGGATTAAGTAGGTGCTACATAAACGGTTCGTAAATATAACTTTAATTTTTTACTCCAAACAGTAACATAAAAATGTTTACCGTGAGCTATATCTCTTGAAGATAGGTGTATGCTGTCGCGAGCATTCTACAGTATTTTTTATGCTCCTTAACTCTTCCATGTATCGTTTCGATACATATTCAACGGTTTAGACAGTATAAACCATTTCTGGAATAATACTTCATAGATCTGAACCTTCCTCGAGAGATGCCCTGTACAATAGCGAAAACCGTAACAAAATCTATCCAATGATTCTCGAAGTTAGTCCGTCCAAATGAACACCCAGGCGCCTACCGGAGACTTTTTTTCATGCAATCTAGAAAATATAGATACGTGAATGTCGACGACTCGTTCCGCCAAACCCAAATACGAGGATCTAGATGTCTAACCGGTCACTTCAATTTTTCCCGACCATACCGAATTACCGGGTGCACATATCACTATACAAAGCTTTCAGCGCAAAAATGCTTTCCTTGGAACCGATAAACAAGCTGCGCGTCATCCTATAATCTGCCTCTATCTCTGAAAGCATACTTTCTGCCTACATGAGCAACTCTTTGTAAACCATATTCTGCAGGAGAAAAATCCGCGTCAGAGGCCACCAGGACTTACCGATACCCGTCGTGGTCTAAAAATGGTAATAATTTAAATTTCCTTTCTAATCTCCATTATCGCCCCAAGAGTTCTCTCGACGGCACGTTTGTTAATGCAAAATCGCACGTAAGTCCGGCGCGGACAATTAAAGTGCTCGATAACGAATTTACAGCTCGGTCGTACGGGGTTCAGGACATTATCGTTTAATTCCGCGAGTTGGAGAACTCGAAATCGACGTTAAGGGGTTCCGGGGTTGTAACCGGCACGCTGCGGAGAGGCACGAAACGGCGTGCGCTCTATTCCGGCGGCTGCACTAAACAGGAATTCCTGAGGGAGGACCGGGAGGAAGGCTCCCGGGATGGGAGCCGTAGCTTCGTCGCCGGGCGGGAGTTTATTTAAAGTCATTTACATCTACGTGCTTTTGGATCAGCTCGCTGCGAGCGACGCGACGCGAAGCTTCCTGCCCGAGTACGAGGTCCTTTAAGCTCGAAATCCTCGATTCCGGAGCCACCGGGACATTTTTACGGGAATTCTCCTGGATCGGAACGCTTCGAAATCGAGGGCGCCGAACACCGATCCTTCAAACGGGATTTATCCTCGAATTATCTCACGACGGTAAACATTTGGATTAAATGGAAGAGGATAAAGGACTCTTTATCGACGACGATGATCACCCTCAAAGTTGATCCTGTTTCTCTTTGTCGGGGAGAAAGTTGGTCCGTCCAGAACTTCTTATTGAGAAACTTCGAAGGAGACTCGGGCACCCTTCGTGGGGAAAAGTGAAATTTGACGGAACCGAGAGTTGACCCTTCTTTGACAGCTGATGAAACGAATCCAAGAGTCGTTGGCGAGAATCAAGGAGAAAGTTACTTCCTCTATTTTCCCACGAAATCCTGGAAACTTTGAAAAATAACGTCTATTTTAGAACGGCGTTAGGGTCTCTCGAATCCGCCTTTTTACGAGGATTTCATGATTCGCGAGATATCTCCCACGTCGAGCACGAATCGTTCCGAATTTCAGAACCGCATTGATTTTAACGCGGCACGGTTTTAGCGGAGGCGGATGCATAAGACATTTCCATTAGTCGGCTGATCTTTTCAAATATAGTTCCCAGAAGTGAGTGAAATCAGGAAAAACCTGTCGAACTGCGGATAAAATTTCCGAAGGGTAAAAATCGGTAGCAGGAGCCAGATTACAGCGAATCGCGGGTGTCAACCCGGTTCTCCTTATTTTAAATAATTTAATAAATGTAAGGCAGAACGGAAATGCCGAGTGGAGACGCTCATCGGGGCCGTTACTGGGAAATCAATGGAGAACCATCGCGGAAGCTCCCTTCCGGGAAGGGTTGCGAAATCGTCGCGCAAACGTCGACGCGGAATCTCCGCAGGGACGAGCGCTGGCTACGACGATCGGCCATTGCGGCTTAGTCGTAGACGAAAATTTATAGAGCGGCGAAGGTGTATCGGCCCTACGGCAAGCGTGTATCGCTAGTAATTGGAACATTTATGAGCCAATCAATCACCACTGTTACAGTCCCGCCGATGCTGTGGATACCGCACCAATTGGTGGGCGCCCCTTTGGGATCCTCCGTAACCCTCGAGTGCCACACGGAGGCGCATCCTACGTCTCTGAATTACTGGACCAGGGACGACGGGGTCATGATCCACGAAAGTAGCAAGTACCAAACCAACAACACCCAGGGCTCGCCTTCCTACAAGACGCACATGAAGCTCACGGTAAACTGGATTAAGGTGAGCAAGGGATTCCTTCCTCCCCCAGGACGCCCGTTTCGTCGCGCCGTGGCTTCCTCTTTTATTCACTTCCCGCCCTCCCGATCGCTGAGCGTTTCGCCGATCTACCCAGGAATTCCGCTCTCCGGTTTATTCCGTGGACGGTATCACTTTCCTTCCTCCGTGCCATTATTTCCCCTTTTATCGTCGCAGCTGACTATCTCGTGCTGGATTCATTGGACGGTGCGGTGCCTTCGTTCTTATTTCATTTGCAATTATGTTGCTTCGCGTTGGGTGCAGTCGGACATGCGAAAAAAAGTTTCGTTCATCGAACGAAATCGTTTGACTCCAGTCGGTTCATTTCAGAATACGGTTTGGTTGACTCAATCGAATTTTAGTTCACTTTTCTACTCCCGTTTCGACCTTTAATGTGTTTTTGTTGAATCGTTTGATTAATTTTTGAAAGCGCTCTCCGGTTTATTCCGTGGACGGTATCACTTTCTTTCCTCCGTGCTATTATTTCCCCTTTTATCGTCGCAGCTGACTATCTCGTGCTGGATTCATTGGACGGTGCGGTGCCTTCGTTCTTATTTCATTTGCAATTATGTTGCTTCACGTTGGATAAAGTCGGACATGCGAAAAAAAGTTTCGTTCATCGAACGAAATCGTTTGACTCCAGTCAGTTCATTTCAGAATACGGTTTGGTTGACTCAATCGAATTTTAGTTCACTTTTCTACTCCCGTTTCGACCTTTAATGTGTTTTTGTTGAATCGTTTGATTAATTTTAGAAAGCGTTACTGACAATAAATCTAATATCAGGTTGAGGAATAAGTTCCCGCCGTTTTAATTACGTTACGTTGAAAACGGCTGGAATTTATTCCTTAACCTACCCTAGTAGCATAGAATAATTTCTAAATATTTCTTTGTAATCTCTGCTAAATATCTCCAGCGACAGATTTTTTAAGATTTCTTGTAGATTTCATTCGAAGATATTTGAAATATTTCTTGAAAATCTCAATGACATATTTAGTTTCAATAATTTNCACGAAAAATTTTTCTAATATTTTCGTTCCGCTATTTCATTATGGGAACAAAACGTGTGAATTTGATTTAAATATTTTTAAAACGTTTATAACGTATTCGGCAGATATTTAAAAAATACTTGTATTAAAATGAAACGAAATGTTTTGTATATCTGGTAGAAAAATATTATGAAAACACGTGGAGGTAATATTATATAAATATTATAGAGATAATATTCTAAAGTAAACGTTTTGCACGTATTTCAAATGTCTGGTAAATATTTACAAAATGAACGATATTCGTTAAATATGTAGAAAATATAGGACAAATATTTTGTGCTACTAGGGTAATACATTGGTTAAGAGCACCAAATTACTTTAATATTTCGTGCGATGTACAACGATATAGGATGTAATCGATCGAAAGTTATTAACTTTCGCTCAACTAATGTCGAAACTCGTCGAACTGTAAGCCACAAGGATTACACGTATCGTTGGATTCATTAAGCTTCACAATGTAAGTTAAGAGTTAACCAAGAATTTTATCGCGCCAACTGAATATTTTACTGGCCACGTAGTAACTATATTCTGTAAGTGAAACAAAAAAAATTTTATTGATTCGATCAAATATTTTTCTGCGTGTACCTTTCGAAATGTGTACACTTTGTATATGTATGTATACTCGTATTAAATTTGAAAACGATCTTTATATCGTACCGACCCTACCATTTCCAACGATAAAAAAATCACGTGCTGGTTGTGTTCTTTTTGGAGGATGCATAGGGAGATCGGGTACAATAGTGACACGGTACAATTGTAACATTGGTTATAAGTATGCCAGTGATTTGTGCAAAAAATTGACACGCCATTCACACGTGTGTACGTAGATATAGTGACACGGCTGGAAACGATGGGCTTATGAAACGTGTACTCATAAATTAAGAGATTTCCATTGTGACTGCACATACATTGCGAAGACTTGGAATGCAAAAATTATAATTTAGCATCCTCTTTTCTATGAATTTCTTTATATTGGTTAGTTTACGAATTATTAGTGAAATAAAAGTATTTATTGTTTTATATGAAATTTTGGTTCTCGTTGCAAACGTACCTTCTTATCCATTACAACCGTACCCGCAACGGGTGCAGTTGTTACACATATCAACTATAACTTAAATTATTTTTTCTATATACTTGAAACAAAGATAACTACTAATATGACTAAATCTTATTGCTAAACTATATCGCGACATGTATTTTCTTTCTCGGATATTTTTGGGAAAAGTATAAAAAAAATGCTCCACTCAAAATTATTACAATCGCCCCCGATCCACCCTGTCGACTTTCAGTTTTTCAATGGCAGAATAAATGATCTACGTATTCGAGGATTTCTTATGACGAGGTAACCTACATTCCCGCAAATCAGGTGTCCACATTTCCAACGGAAATTGCTTTGAACATGAATATAGAAAATTGTGTTCGCGTAATTACTTGGCAAGTTCCATCCAGTCATCTAGGCGAGCGACCATTACCGATCGGGGCATCGGAATAAGAGAGATGAGGGGGAAAAAAAGTTGGAAGTCTGTTTATACCTTCTCGTTTTCTTCCCGCGAAAGATATAGTATGGTAGCTAGCGGATTTCGAAAGCTTAACGACCCGCAATAAAGTAGAAACCTATTGGATCGCAGAGTACGTGCCACGCGTACCTTTTGCGAAAGATTGTTCGAGGAAACTTGTCGAGCGTCTCCTTCGTTCCCTTCCCTTCCGGCCCTCGGGTTCCTCCGTCTTGCCTTCGTACTTTTCCCCGTTCTGCTTTCATTTCTATTTATCGTCTTGTTTTCTACTTTCGCAGATGGAAGATTATGGCATCTATAAGTGCGTCGCGAAGAACCCTCGAGGAGATACCGACGGTTCGATTCGTCTGTACGGTGAGTGTCGATCGATTAATCGAATTAAGATTACCAGTAACATTACAGCATGGATAAGCATGCATGCAGGATTTATCTCCACTACTTGCCGGGGTTAACGTGTAAATTCTGCCGGGAATTTAAACATTAATTTCTTTAATTGATGATTAAGATTCGCTATTACGACGGAATTACGAATTAACGACACCATTTAATCGACCTAAGTTGATAAATCGCAGATAAATAATAATTTAATAATATTGGCTCGAACCGATTCAACTTGGGTAGGACTCTAAACTCCTTTTATTTGAGCAGAATTGAGCTTAATTATTAAAAGTATCCGAAGTAAATGTGGACTTCTCGACCCTTGATACTTCGGAAGCTTCAGAAATAACGCTTGACAGAGTCCCGTGATCGCGACGCGCTTTTGTCTTCTCCTGATAATTACCAAAAAGTCTTAATTAACTGAGCGAAGAGCCCATTTAAAACTCCTGATTTCATCTCGAGGTACAAGTTAATCCCGGAAATCGGCAAATGAAGAAGCTGGATTGAAAATATAGAAATCGATCGTTCCGTTGCGTTTAACGTCGTCACGTTTTGTGCGTCCCAAAAGCAGAAAACGGATTAAATAAAAGAATCGCCGTGTCCTAATAACTAATAGAATACCGATATACCGACATGGAGACCCTCTGGCGTCTTCTACGATCGATATAAGACAATGCAACAAGGTCAGCAGCGACAGAACCGCATTCTGCCGATCCGGGGTCGATACACTGGGAGCATATCAGTCGATTCCTGTCGAGGGTGCAATTTGGGTTCCAGCAGGGGACCTTTGGGGCAGGTCCTGATGCAACTACGGGACACTGCACCGCCAGCGGACCGACCCAAACCCATACATCGGATGCATCAGGAGGACCCTTGGTGCATCGGTGCATGGTGGGAAGGCACGATGGACGAGATTCCCATCCTGCCATCAATGCGGTTTAAATAGATAGTCCTGAATTGACTCGCTAATCGCTGTTATGAGTAATTACGCCGTCACAGTTTCGGAAGCTCATCCGTCTCGACACTAACGAACCTTGCAGAATCACCTGTTCTCTCGGAACTTAGATACCCCTCTCTAGAGGTGTATTTTTCATCGGTGATGAATCGGGATCAATGAGAATACCCGTAAAGGTGTCGGGGTTACAATAGCCAAAATCATGCAGTTCTTTTCTGAAGGTTAGGAATTAGGTTTTGCTCGAATGTCTGGGTAGGAACCATGGGCCTGATAGATCCAGGCAATGCTTGGCTCATCCCTCTTCTGCCTAACTGCCGGACAGGGAACTGCCTAGGGCACGAAATGCTGGAAACAGCTTCTGCCCAGATTGGCAAACCGGATAAACGCTGGACAGGTTTCCTCGCGATTGCTTAATGAATTAGCGACGCTCAATCTGGAACCCAACGAACCCCGGCATCCTGCCCAATTAACCCCAGCCAAGTGAAATCGCCCTTCCTGCCGTGAGGTCGAGCTCAATAATTGCTCTTTTCGGCCCTCCCCTTTGGCTTTGTTTTTCATATTGCTGTACGAGAGCGAAACGATGCTTCTACTGCCTGTGCACGTGTGTGGGAAGCGTCTCTTGCGCAGAGCCCTTCTCTGGGGACAAATGCTATGAAATCCCCTATCATCGCCTGTTGGGCTGGCCCAAGACCCGTCTCAAATGATTTCGAAATTCTACACCCTACTTGATAGCGTGATAAAGCTTATCCACGGTCATCGCATCCCCGTGAAATTTATCATTAGGGTATTTTGTTCCAAAGGACTTCAATAATCATCTCACAACCCACGTCGACATCTTCATCGAGTGCCTCCAAATTTTTCTCTACCACGTCCAAGAAAACGAGGTTCGCGCGGCTTCTGGGTAATTCCGGAATAATTCCGAAATAATTCCGTAAACGAAACCGAGCCCACGGCGGACACTTGGTACAATGCGTCCCGTATGTAACGAGAGATGATTCCACGGTCATAACGTATGCATATGACATAAAGGGTTGCGAGAGATGGCCAGGGCTCGCGTGTACACACGTACACGCGAGAGGCTAGCTCTCGTGGTCGCGGGGCTCTCTCCATTAGCATGCATTGGTTTTTCGCATTAGCGACATTCAAATGAAGCGAACGTTTAGCATAAAAGGCACTCGCAAAAAGGGCGAGCTACCGTGCATACGTGCCACGGAGAGGGGAACCGAGAGCCCGCGAGAGGGAGAGAGAGGACTCGACGGAAGGATCTGGCGGGGGGAAAAGGAGAAAGGAACCTCGACGAGGATGATTTTGTTCCGCGTGGTGGAGAACGGTCCTGGTCCGTTAAGGCTGAAGCACCCTTGCCCGGCCTGCAGACCGGATTCCATGAACATTCATATCGACAGAAATCCACTCTGAACTCGATAACTGGATGCTGGCAATTTCAAGAAATCCCCGATATTAACCCTTTATTTACGAAACACAGACTATAGTGGCTTCCGCCTGATCGAAGTTTTTTTACGAAGTGCTACTATAGTGGCCCTCTTCATTCCCATATATCCGAAACGACAATTAAATATCGTAATCAAATAAAATATCAGCCCTCCGCGACCGAGATATCCGTACAGGTGGAGGAACTTGATTGACGTCGATAAAGAAGATTTTTCTAAATGCCTACGTTGCCGACGTTCGTTTTTATATTGACAGCTGTGTCGAATTATATTGGATATCGTACCAAATGGCATACTCCACCTGTCGTTTTCGTGCAATAAATATCAAGAAATCGAAGTAAAACTCCAGAAATCCTCTGTATTCATGCTTTCTGGGGCCCTAATTGACTGCAGAGGGACCCCCTGCGCCATCTGTGATTTTTAGGTCAATTAAATTTTCAGTCCGACACCTCGTATTCCCATCGTTTTAGCGTAGAAGCGCATACAACATTTTTTTTGCCTTTATTTCGTTCAAATGCGAGTTTCTCGATTACCAGAGTGTTCTAAATTGTCGTAAAATTGTTCTGACCCTTTCGATTTTCATATCAGAGCCTTCGACAATTGCATATTGATCGAAGTATGAGAGCTCGACACCATCTTGGTTCAGGTCTGGGCTCAGTTAACAAATTTAAAAAAAAAATCCAAATTTTAAATGTGTCAGGACTATTTTTAGATGATCACGAGTGATATATCAAAGTTTCGGACAGTTTGGTCTAATACTCTTAAAAAAAAAGTGTTGCATTCGAATCGACTGATTGGAAGGGGGTTTCACTTCACCTTAAAGGGTTAAGATGTTTTCGCAATTTGCGATTATAATACGTTTCGTTATCTAGCCGAATTCCATGCATGTTACACGCAGGCGTTTACATCTTGGATTCGGATTGTACATATTTTTTCTTCATTACTTCTTCCGTTTTTCTTATTGTTAGTGACATGTTTGAATTTTTAATGCCGATACCCTGTATCGATGGTGAAATTATGACTAGGAAGGGGAAAAACTTTTCCTCGTGAAAACGATGCCGGCCATATTTTATGCGCATTTTTGGGAATTTTCGATCCACGCCGATTCCGTCCCGGCAAGTGCACTTATATTCGATTCGCTTCTGCATTTTTCGAACCGATGTCCAGACCGGTGCGGAACGATCCGCGTAAGTGTACTTCAACCTTTGCTCTCCCCAACATTTGGCAACCTGAAAATATCCACCGCGCGCGTTCCGCCTGCGGATTTAAATCACAACTGCAAGTTCAACGGAATTTCAATCGTTCGGACCTGCCGGAAATTTCTTTCGAGGCTTGTCAAAGGGTGCTTTTTCGATCCGCCTCTCTTGACGTGGACAGAGAAATTCTTGAGATTTCTCAATTTTTCTGATGGGATTCGTGAAAACTTGGAACACTGAATGAAAAAGGATGAAAGATGGACGGAGAAAAGTTTGCCGAGAGGGCATCGGTGACCTGACGTTTTACATCTGCATATTTGTTCCTCTAAGGGTGGCTAAGTTTCGCATTTCGACGGTAACTTTATGAATTAATGATACCAAAGTTGATAAGTCATAGATAAAAAATATTTTAATCATACTGGCTCGTTTTACATGTCGTTTTACATGTCATGGGTAAGAAGGAGTCACGCGACTTTTTCCCTCCGAGTGACAGAAAAATCGCAGACAATTTCACGCGACGATCTCGGATAAGTACGAACGAGGTAACACACCCTTACCGCAAAGGCGAGGGAAGAAAAACAAAAAGAAGAAAAAAAGGGTCGCTTATCTGGCAAACTTGGGGGTGGCCTAGGATATAAAAGGCGCATAATACGGTTTATCGTGCACTCGAAATAAGATGTCCCCGGTGAGTACTCAAAAATGATCGCGAGCGTCTAGAGGCACGACAGGGAATATTTCGCGAGAGAATAAGCATACCGTCTCTGAGAAAACAAAGATCCGGGGGGGATGCGAAGGGAACGAGAGAGAGAGAGTCGGCGACTACAGAGGCGGGAGTAAAAGTGGAGCGCGAGGGAGAGGGAGCTACGGCCAGGAAGTGCGAGGGAGGAAGAGAGAAAGAGGCCCCCGAAATTAAGTGGTAGCAGTCAGAGATGTGTCAGAGGAGTTTTATTAAGCGGCATAAAAAAGAGATTTGTAGTCTGACTGAGGGAGCCCGAGCCGGGGCGGAAGATGGAAGGGGGTCGTAGAGATATGAATTTATTATTAAGGACCGCCTAAGGGCCAAAGTACCCCTGTTTCTTGATATCCATCCCCCGGCTTCCCCAGGACCGTCCCGTCCTCCTGACTCGACCGTCTCGCCTGCCTGCAGCCCCTGCAACCCCCTGCACCCCCCTGCGGCCCCCTGCGACCCCCTGCGAACCCCTGCAGCCTCGAGCTTCGGCCTCGGCTAATTTATTCCGTATGTTCGAGTCAAGCTGCTATTTGGACGGAAAACTCCGACGGAACAACAATATTGCATTCGTCTGCCGAGCGAGCACGAAAAACCCTCCCTCTTCCTCTGTCTCCCTCCCTTCCGAAGCTACGTTCTTCGAGGTTGGA